TTTTCTCTGGCAGTTGGGTCAGAGCTTGGGTATATAGCAGGCATTGCCCTCAATGGCTGAGGTGACTGGGTAGAGCACGTCACAAATATTAGGCAATAGGCAAGTTTTCTAAGACGCCAGGAGCAGAGAAACAGCAGATTTTACTCCTGGGTACATTTCCAAATACTAGAGGCTGAAGCAGAGTGTCACCTTAGCAAGGGCATGTGGTGGTATGTGAGAGTGGGCAGGTGGGTAGAATTCCAGTCACTGTGAATGGTGGGAAGGAACCTGAGCAGCATCACCCTGAAACTTGAGCTAGTCCTCCCCCCCACACTGTCTCCCCTGGTTCAATGTGGCCCCTGGTTCTGTGCCCCATTAACTTGTGCTTGGACTATATACTCCACTCTTTCCTGGGATAAGAAAGACATCTGAGATGAGTTTCCAGTTCCTGCCACCCTTCTTGAACTGTTTGGGCATTGTCTCTTTTCTATGGGTTCCTACCTTATGCTCTAAGAGGAGGGTGCCATCACACAGGACAGTGTTCAGACTCTAGGACACCATACATCCCATCCCCTGTGTCTGACTTGCCCCAGGCACCCTCACCACCTAGACCCTGCCCTGCTCATACCCAACACCTCTTCCTGACGCTGAGAAACATTCAGGCGTGCTTAGGGCAGGCTCAAACAGCTTGAACTGCAAAGTCCATATCTAACGTCCATATCTTGTCTCTGTTTCCATTCTCTCCTGTGGCCTCTTTTTCTTTGTCACATCACCTTAGTTACTGTTCTATTGCTGTGAGGAGGCACCATGATCAAGGCAACTTATAAAAGAAAGCACCTAATTGGTGGTTTGCCTACAGTTTTAAAGGGTTAGTCCATGATCATGGTAGGAGGCAGGGCAGCAAATAGGTAGGCAGGATGATGGAATAGTAGCTGAGAGCTTACATCTCATCTTATCCATAATGTGGAGGCAGAGAGAGAGAGAGAGAGAGAGAGAGAGAGAGAGAGAGAGAGGGGCTGATTCTGGCATGGGCTTTCAAAACCTCAAAGCCCACCCACATTGATATACCTCCAACAATGTCACACCTCCTAATCCTTCCTAAACAGTCTACAAACTAGGGATCAAGCATTCAAGTGAATAAGTCTATAGAGGCCATTCAAACTGCCATATAGATACATGTTCCACTGAAGGAGTCAGAGTCTCCCATAGCAGTGGTATCATGGGAGAGGTGCTATAGTTGGACACAGGGCTAAAATTAAGGTTAGATTAGAGTTAGTCGTTCTACAGTACCCCTTTCTGGATGCATCTACTGGTATTCATTCCCTAAAGTAAGACAGTTTGGTTATAAAAAAGTCCTTCCCTGTATTATATGGCAAAAGCTGGTTCTGCAGCAGCAACTCCTCCATATCAACCTCTGGGGCCACTATGACTAAGCCTAACTCATCTTCTACAGGTTGATGGCTAAGCAAGCCAACAAGTGAGAATCAAGTCTGGGCTCAGCCATGAACTGAACAAATTTCTTTACCTTACATTGCCTTTGTGTCCCATCTGCAAAGTGAAGTTGATAAGAGCATTCACCTCAGAGTGGCTGCATCAGAGTTCAATGAGTTAGTAGATGCAAAGGACTTAATATAGCATCTAGAACATTAAAAGTGTTCAGTATACATTGCATTATCTGGAGAAGTGTCTTTATCTACTTGATTTGCTCTTTTTTCTTGGGGTTTCAGCCCCAAGTTGTAGAACTCTGTTTAATATATCATGATTCCCACATCCTTGCTGCCCTTGTTTATTTCATACTTGATTTCTTAACACTCTATTATGATATTATCTCTCTCATAAAGTGGAGTCAATGCTGCTCATGGTCTGAAGCTGTTCTTCTACTTCTATGGTGATGACTAATTGATTTTGCTGAAGCATGTACTACCACACAATTGACTGGACTTTAATTCTGAGTTCTTTTCTTGCATTCCTCCTTGGCTCAGAGCCATACTAGGCTCTAATGCACCTTTTAAAAGTATAACCCGGTATTCTTCCTCCTTTAGGAGACCTTGCAGACTGACCCCACATCCCTTGATTGAGCTGTTGTACCCTGTGGGGGAGGTTTTGCCTATCTTTCCACATCCTATAAAGCACAACTCTTAGTCCTACATGTACTGCATCTTGGCTTTGAGGTCTCAGTCCTATTCTCCCATTCTTTTTGCTGGTTGGTACTTCAGAAGACAAGGGGCCCGTTCTTTGAGTTCTCTATGTGCATGAACACCCAAGATCACACTGTGGTTATGCCACTTTTGGTGAGTTCACTTCCCCACTCAGGGACATCCTGTTCCTACCAGCCTCTGTAGAAGAGGGCTGGACCGTCAGAGAGACGCCTGGCCAGGCAGGGAAGAAGTGAGTAGCTCTGACGCACCCAGATTCCCTCCCCTTGCCTGACTCCTAGCTATTTTTTCTTTATTTTCCTTCCTGTGTTGAAAGAGCTACAGGGCCTGGTCCATGCTAGAATTTCCTGGGGACATTCCATAAATTCTTCTCTAGAGAGGGTAGGATGAGTGGCTTGGTAAGTAGGAGGCCACTAGGAGCCAGGTATGGCTATCAGTACCTAATAGGAGTGTGGGTGGAAGAAAAGGGTGAGCTGCTCAGAGGAAAAAAAAAAGAGGGGTATCATGAGTTCATAGCCAAAGTAACAGCACCTCACAGTAAGAAGACAGACAATTTGCAGGTTGGAACAGGAAGTGGGCAGCCCTTGAACCTGCTACCACCACAGTGACTGGTCTACTAGGGCTTCTACAAGACCCAGAGAACTTGGGCCGTGTGTGTGTGTGTGTGTGTGTGTGTGAGAGAGAGAGAGAGAGAGAGAGAGAGAGAGAGAGAGAGAGAAAGAGAGAGAGAGAGAGATGAAAAGATGCAAGCAATTCCAGATGTGTGCTATGTAAGACACATAAATACTAAGGGGTCAGCAGATACAGGTGTTCCTCTGAAGCCTGGCTGGGCCATTCTCCTTCTCTAGTAATACTGACTTCTTAATTTATGTCTAAGGCCAGAGTAAGCAGAGACACTAGCCCTTGATTGAACTCTAGCAAGTCCGAACCTGAAAATCACTCTCAACCTACATCCCCCAGTTCCACCACTAGTCTCAAAGTAAAAAGAGTGCCAAGTTTGAGGGTCAAGGCAAGAAACAACTAGCCTTATATTTCTTTGTCTGGATCAGTCACTCTACTTCCCTAAGTTTCATTTTCCCTGTGGAATAATGAGGGCAGTAGCTAGGTGATCTCAAGGCTTTTCAGAAGATAGTCCTATCTTGCAAAGATGGTTCTACTTTGTTAGGCTTACCCTATACATAAAACTTTGGTGATGGGCTTAAAGAGAATTAGTATGAATAGACCAACCTTTAATAGAACTTTCAAGATAGTAAAGGAGACAGTCTGGACCAGGAACTGGAGATGAAAGAAAGATGGATAAAGTGCCAGATACCAGCACAGATGCTGCTCTTGCTGAACCTTAGATAAGCTCTGTACAATTTTAGAGAAAGGTACTTTCTTTGGCAGGCAGATTAGTAATAGAAGCCTCATGGGGAGGTGTGTAAGAATGGCACACATAGCCTGCTGAGGATTGTTTGGGTGATTTTCCAACTCTCCCCATTGCCCAAATCCCATGTGCCAGGCAAATGTGCCCAATCTGATGAGTTGAGCCTTGCTGAGCAAGGAGGTAGACAGCCTCAGGCATCCAAGCCAAGATGTGACCAGCAGAATACACCACTTCCCAAGTTCAAGGAGTAACACCTCTCTCACGAACAATTTTCTTATAGGAAATGACTCCTGCCTTCCCCAGCTTTATGCAAGCAAATGATATGACCACAATCATCCTCTCTTCCACATGCAGAAGCCAAGTCAGGCCCATAGCTGTAGGGGCAGAGTGATGGTGCAAGACAGGAACAAGCAGAAACATTTCCCAAGAGCCAAGAAATGGTCAAAGGGATTTGGCATTACAAAGACCAGAGAAATCTGCAAATTTCTCTATCTTCTCATAACTCCTCCCACCTCCTCTACAACAACTCAGAACAAGAAGAATCTGGAAATTCTTCCTCAGACTCCCTTCCAGTTCCTTTTTCCACATTCCTCAACAACAACCTCCCAGGGCTCTAAATGGATTAGGAGGAAGGAGCGTGGTAATGTCAACATTAAAGGACGAGGTGCAGCAAAGTCTTTTCTGTGCCTTGATCCACAGGTGCTAGGACTAGTGAGGGGTGGCAGGAGAGGAAGTTTGGGAAAAGGGGATTAGCTGGGACCTTAAAGAGTGTAGCTGTTTTAATCCCACATAATGAACCAGACTGTGCTCCCTATCCACACCCTAAACACTCAACAAGCAGGTACAAGTTATTGGCTTCAGCCTTCCTTGCAAGAGGGCCCCCTTGTTGCCAGCCCCAGACAGCCTTTTCCCTCCAGCTTGTAGGGGTACCCAAGGAGGCCTGGAAGGTATCTCCTTCCTCCGGGCTGCTGAGGTTTGGGTAAGAAAGTGGGGAATGTCTACAACTGCTGCAAGGATGGGTAACGGGCCGTGTACCTAAGCACCAATCATGTAACTTGAGGCCAGCATCCACCACTACAGCTCTTAAGACGCAAAACCTGTCCTAACCAACTTCTTTCTGTTTACAGCCAACAGCTGGGTTCCAGGTAGGAGTTGCATGCATATAATTCACGATGTGGATAGCAACAACAGCAACAAAAAATAAGTTTGTTGCTTATAACAAGAGTGGTTTTTCTCTTTAGGCAAAGTACCTTCCCAATACCTCAATATTAGACAACAATGAAATACATTTGGTTTTTTTTAGGTACTCAGTGACTGACGGCTGGAGGAAACAATTTAAGGCTAAATCACAAAATCCCTATCTTCCTCCCCATTCTATTCCCTTCCCTTAAAAAAACAATAATTTGCCTATAGTTAAATCTCTACCAAACACTATCTTCTAGAAGAGTCCCTCAACTGAGAAATCAATGTGTCAGAACAGTCAGGCCACCGAGTCTTACCTTCTTCAGCTTGCCACTCTTAGTCCCCACAAAAACCACACTGTAGCCATTGTAAACATAAGAAGCCACCGAAGTTAAGCGGTCCCTGCTGGTGGTGTACAGGGTCAGTCCCTCCACAGGAGTGGAGCCTCCCAGAGGTTGGTTGATGTCCAGGCCACAGAAGTTATCATCAATGGGGACTGGCTGAAAGGACAGGAGAAAACTGGAATGAGTCCCAGTGAAAGAATGGCAGGGTCACTTCAAACCACCCAACCAGCCTGAGGATACCAGACCTCACAGAGGATCAGGGCTGGGATCAAAGGTCTAATGTGTTAGAGACAAAGCTCATAGCCAACTGGCCCACAGTGACATCTTGGCTCCCATGGGACCAGATTGTGAGTGACTATAACCATCTCCATTCTCCCAGAACTAGCATGTGTCTTACCTTTTACCTTTCTGCCAGGAAAGTCAGATTGTAAAGCTGATTGAATTCACCTTCTGCTTCTTTTCATGTCCCCTTAGACCTTGTCAGGCTGTGAAGATCTGTCTATTTTAGACAGGGCTCTCTCAAAGGATATTCAGCCTAGAGGCAACATTGTAAGATTCCACAGGCCTAGAGGTTTCCTGTTTGTTCTTTGAGCAAGCTAGTGAGTGTTTCTTGGGCTGTAGAGAGGCATGAGGAATTTTAAGCCACTAAACTATCACTACTACCTGCCATTCTGGGGACTCATTGCAAGTATCATGATAATATTGAATACTGTCTTTTGCTTTGGGATTTCTTCTTTATTTATCTTTGGAGTTCTGGGGGGGAGGGTGAATCTGGAGCCTCTTGCATGCTAGGCAAATGCTCTATCACTAAGCTACTTCCTCCTTCCTCTTTATTTTTTATTCTGAGACAAAAATTTCACTAAATTTCTCAGGCAGGGCTTGAACTTGTGACCCTCCTGACTTAGCTTCCCCAGTAACTGAGATTACAGGCCTGTACCACCAGGCTGTGATGGAAAATTTAATCTACATCAGAGTCTTCATTTGGTATGATATGTCCCCCACCTTTGGAAAGAATTATAGAGGATTAAATGAAATGATGTATGTAAAAGACTTTTATCATTGTATGCCACTATCTCCTGTACATTATAGGTGTTCAAAGAGATGTCTTCTTATATCAGTCTTTTGAGGGGATTAATGATAGGCCAGGAGGAACTGTGTCACTTTGAAAGAAGGCTCCCTTACGTAAGTGAGAAAACTTGCCGTACAGAGCATGAGAAGACTCATTCCCACCCTGTGTTCAGGCTAAGTCCACTGGGGGCCACAGCATCCTCTTCTGGGACTGTCAAGTGGAGACTCAGATGGATAGGGCTGTGCTTTGAATGAGAATGTCCCCACACAGGCTTGTATATTTAAATGTTTGGTTTCCAGTTGGTAGACTGTTCAGGAAGAATTAGGAAGTGTGGCATTGTTGGAGGAGGTATGTCACTGAGGGTGGACTTTCAAGCTTCAGAAGATGACAGCCTGCCCAGCCAGATGTCTTTCTGGGTAGAGAGGGGGAAAAAAGGAGGGAACCTATCTTAAGGATAGGGGATGCACAATGCCTGGCACGAGGCTGGATCTTGATGGGTGCCCCAAGACACCCCAGCTAACTGCCAAGCATGAAATCTTGCAGTAAAGGCTGCAGATTCTGAATAAAAAAAGACCTTGAGCGCTGGGGGAGCTGTTCCCATCTGCTCTGGAATAGGCTTCTCAGAAAACAGAAGCCATAGCAGTGATCAGCGCAGAAGCCTCCTCAGCCTTGCTTTTTCACCCTCATCAGGGAGGAGTAACTGATGCTTCATTTCCTCTGAATAATCAGTTAATAAGTTAGAGCACATTATTTTTCCTCAAGCTTGTGTTTCCGCCTCGGCTCTGAGGGGAACTAGGACATGTCTCTGGGACCTTGGTACCTGTGGACAGCTGCCGCTCTTACGACTGGCAGGACTGATGGTGCTAAAAATACATAAGCACTCCATTAGAAAGAACATCAAGTTTTAGAGTAAGAATGGCCTTGAACTCTGGGTGGCAGACTCTACACCACAGCTTGGAAGGGAAAAAGCCATTGTATAGTAGCGCTAGGTCATTGGGAGATGTCTATGTATACCTCTACATCCGGTGATGTCACTCCCACTTGAAGCCAGCCTGTCTGGCAGTGTTTACAGCACAGGAATTGCCAAATAATGTAGACCAGGGCTCTCTTGCTTCCTCTATTTTGTGGAGTTAGTTGCTTACTATTTTCCAAGGCAGGGAGTTGCCAGCCACACTCTCTACCCTTGCTGCCTCTCTTACTCATCCTTGTTCTGGAAGCAGTGGCTGCTCAATAAGACTTAGGTCATCTAAAATTTAGCCCTGTCCTACTGCACTAGCCCTTCCTACATGCCCTCTCTAGGCCTCAGTTTCCTCATCTATAAAATAATAGAGTCAGCTCATGTCAAAATTCTTTAGAGATTGTTTGCATGATTTCAGGTTTTTTCCTACCACTTTGTCCAGGGCCTAGTAGAGCTACAGTGTTGTAACTGAAGCCAGTTTCTGAGATACGATGACAGAAGTGAAAAGCCCTGTCTGGCAACTCTGGATTTCTCTAGTTTCTTTCTGAGGCTAGCATCTCCAAAACAACAAAGAAAATGATCTGTTCTGAGCCTACACCCTAGGGTTAGATGGCAATTGCTTCCTCAATATCTTGTTAAGTATTCCCAAAGCCTAATGTCCCTTTAAGTTTGCATAGACAGAGAGTGACTGAAGTATGATTTTTCTCAGAGGTAGTGGTCCCATGGAGCCTGCATCAGGAATCTGTGAGCTGCCCTGAATTCAGATCCTGATTCCTGGTTCACAATTATATAGATTTAAGTAGTTTGTTTACACTTTCTAAGCCTTTGTCTTTCTATTTGCAAAAGGTCATGACAACTAGTGCTTTACCTGTGAAGATCAGGTGAGGTACAAAACTGCTCAAAATAGCCCTTTGTGTGTAACTGATATTTTGTGAATGATGGGTCCCTTCTTCATACTTTTTTTGTGGGAGCAATGTTCAAATCTTTGACCTGAGAGTTACATGTTGGTCCACAGACTATGTTAAAGTCAAGCTCCAGTCCCTAATTCAGATCCTTTGGTCTCTAATAGGATCCCGAAGACACCACCAATTTGCACCCCCAACTGTTTTGGGGTTTGAAATGATATTGCGCGAGGGGGTGACAGAAGAGGAAGTTTTTTCCTATAAGGCAGTAGTTCTCAATCTGTGGGTCAAGACCCCCGGGGGTCACATATCAGATATTTTTTATTACAGTTCATAACAGTAGAATAATTACCATTATGAAGTAGCAACAAAATAATTTTATGGTTGGGGGTCACCACAACATGAAGCGCTGCATTCAAAGGTCGCAGCATTTGGATGGTTGAGCACCACTGTGAATAGCCACTTGTCCTTCCAGCTATCACCAGTGTTTCTGACGTCCCATGGTCACTAGTCAGGGCTTGTCTCTGTAGCACCAGTGGAGCAGCACACAGTGGCCTCTTCCTTTCAACTTTGGCTGAGAGGCAAGCAGGAATCAGCAGTTTCCTCTTGACAAGGCCGTGGGAACCAGGGTGGAAGCAGTAAGGGGTTAACCCTTACATTTCCTCCCCACTTCTCTTGTTTGAAGAGGCTCTTTGTTCATAAAACTCTAGTGCTATAAGGCAAACTGGAGATTACCTAAATCCAGATTTCTCATTTTATGAAAGAAAGATAACTGGCAAATAACTAGTCCTTCATTACTATGATTAGCAGTGGTAATCCTAGTTGCTCATTTACTGAATGATTAGTGTGTGCATGTTATTTTCATAAATAATTGATCCTCATAATAAAAAAGGATAATATTATTTCTATTTTAAAGAAGAAAAACGTATAGCTCAGATACCACACATCCCTTGCTCAAGGACACACAGGATATAGGTGGAAGAACTTATTTTTTTTAATCTAATTGATTAGATTTAAAGCTCAAATTCTTAACAAGTATGCTGAGGTACCCTGTCATAAACTTGGATCAAGCTGTGATTCCTTGATGTTCATATTATGCTTAGGCATGACCCAAGTTTTTTATACTTGCTACCTCTCTCTGGAATGCCTTTTTCTCTCTCTTAGCTGCTGCTCCAAATACTACTCTCTCAATGGTAGATATTCTCTAGAACTGTTCTGTGCTGTTTTATTTTCCTCTATAGAAAATTTACCATTTGGCAGGCAGTATCATTTTATTTGCTTGAGAGTCTCATATAGCCAGGCTAGCATTGAACTCACTATATAAGCAACACCTAATCCTCCTACCTCTAACTCTTCCGAGTGTTGAGACTACAAGTATGCACCACCACATTGGGCCAGGCTGTTTTATGTGTTCGCTTGTCTTGCCTCACTAGTAGGTAAGCTCTTTAAGACCATGCAGCTTAGTCCTGAGGCTTAGCAGCACCAAAAGCAATGTCTGGTGCACTGTAGGCATACAGAGGCATGTATTAGTATTGATTTAATGAGTCAGCAAACTCATCTCAAGACTTTAATGTAGGCAAGACTCTGCAATTGGTAGTCATCACCTAGTTGCCTAAAACCCATTCTTACCCCAGGTCCCCACTGGCCTAGAAGCTGAGGGTACAGGGGTACAAAGGAATCAGGGACAAGGCACAGGAAGGCTCCTTACCGCCTTGGTGCACTGCACATCCTTTCCCAGAAGCCAGTTGAGCTCCAAGTTGCCCTCTCCATGGTAGCAGGACTGCAACCGCTCCTTGATCTGCAAGTTGATGGCCCGAATGGGGAAGGCACAGAGGGCAGAGTCGTCGGGTGGGTGGTGGTACTGCTTCTGCCCTTTGGAGAAGATGGCAAATAGCACATCCTCATCGCTGCTGATGTTGAAGGCCTGAGCTAGAGCTTCTCCAGGCTTTGCGAGATAAGCTGCCTGCAAGAGGCGGTATTCTACCCCAGCACGTGTGCAGCCAAAGGGCAGGGACACATAGGAGTGGAACTTGGGGTCATCCTTGCAGAGACGCACAATTCTTGAGGTATAGAAGAGGTCTCCAGCTGAGTTGATGGCCACACCCTCAGGGGTCTCTGGCTGGACAGTGAGAAAGTAGACAAAACCTCCGCTGGCAAAGCCATAGATGTAGAAGATGTCAAAGTGGGAGACCAGGGCTAGGGTGTCAGAGGGGATCTTGATGAGGGAGGAGACAAAATCACTGTGGAGCTCATAGTCCAGCATGGCTGAAGACTCAGGGTCACGGGGTAGCTTGCGGCTGGACAAGGTAGGGAAGTAATCCTGCTTTCCATCCACAGCAGTGCCAATAAAAAGCTTGCCATCTTCCCCCTCAGAGCGCACAATCACCCCATACATGGTGCCTGTCTTATTGACGCTGGACAAGTAGTGCTCCTTCTTGTGGGATGGCTCCACCAGGATGAAGAGGTCATCTAGCCTCAGGAGCTTGCAAACTCCCTGGTAGAGACTGCCACAGGCAAGCAGGCGATTCTCGGAGTAGTCAATGATCAGTAGTTTGTTAACATTGTTGGTGAGTGTGAGCACCTCACTGCAGGGCTGTACAATCAGGGGTGGGTAGCAGGCCTTGTTGTCTTCTTCTGGCCCTGTCTTGTGAGCCACCTGAATTGTGAGGTTGCCTGTCAACTTGTAGACACGGTTGATGGCCCCCACATACACGGCCCCTGTTCTCCTGTGTACAGTCAAATGGTTGAAAGTCCAGTCACGGTTCTCAGAGTGGAAGGTGCTGAACTGAGGCATACCTGTGGTTTCATGAGCTAGCAGCAGCCAGGCCACTGAGAGCAGTACCACTGACAAGTTCTCAGCCTGCATGGTCCACAGCTGGGACCTCCTCTGCTCCATCCCGAGAGGGGCAAGGCTGGAGGGATAGCTCCTCTGTGTACTACTCTACTTCTCTGGGTCAGCTCTCACATGGTTCTGAAAAACACAAGGCAAGGGGTCAGACTAAAAGCAAGTTCTCCGTGAACCGTATTGCTTGACCAGGATTCCCAAATCCAGCTGGTCCTATGAGTCTCTTTTGCTACATTTCAGTTTTTCTATTTTTAACATATTTTCCTCTCTGAGGGATGCTGAGGGAATCCCATTATCACCAGTCTTTAGCCATTATGCTGTATAATATGCTTTTGTTTGTGTATTTTATTTACATTGTATAAAGCATCCCATTTTAAATATTAGTTTTATCTCTCGGAAAGTTTAAGAGACTGGAGTTCACTCAACCAGTCAACGCCGATGTCAAGACTGAAATGTCTTCCCTACATACTCACTTTAGGACCCCCTACTCCAGCACGAGACGTTAATTACATTTCTCCTTATCTCAGACTCCCTTGACTCCTGGGATCGCATGCCTTCTCATGCTCTGATATCCATTGTGAAAGAGAAGTGCTGGTCACCTCTAATGGGATTTATGGAAAGTATGCTGTTCGAAAAAGACTGGATTCCTAAGCCTGCCATCCCAGATCCTGAAAAGCCCCCTGAAATGGCAGAGCCTGTTCCTCTGTAGACAGACATAGCCACTGCCTTATGGGAGAGGAATACATGGCTTCTAGGAACCCCAGTAGCATCACCTGAGGCAGGAGTTCTAGCCAGGCATACTTGGGCAGCAGTGGAGGAAGAGGAGTTGGAGGGTCAGTTTTATCCGGTCACTGCTGGGGAATTCTGGCCATTCAATCATCTGTGAGTTTAGCCCTGGGCCTTGATCACAGAGCTTCTAGTTCAGCCTCCACTCCTGAATGCTTTGATCTTGCCAGCATTACAAGAAGCTGTCCAGTAAGCATAAAGGACCCCTGAGGGCACTCACTAAGACCAGCAAGGGGAGATCCCAGGCAAGGGGACAGAGGTCAGGAAGTCCAGCCATCCCTGGAGAGTCTTGCTTCCCCTGACTTTTAGGATGAACCGCAGTCACTTGAAAGCTGCACCAGAAGAGGCAGCAGTCATCTGGCTAAGAGAGCCTTTCTCAAGCTGAATAGAGTGCCTGGACAACCTTGTTGACAAGTACTGACAGAACTCTGGGTGCACTGACGACAGGAATGGAAACACTCTAGCTAGGAAGAGAATTTGCTCCCAGGTAGCTTAGCAAAGGCCTGCCTGCCTGTTCTCTCAACTCCCCAGGCTGGCTGGACTGGGTTATAATGAGTCTGATACCACTCCCACCCAGTTTTTTCTTGTATATTTAGAGATGTTCCTTCCTGCTCCTCCACTCTGCAGCATAGGTCTGCAGGCAGCATGGTGCCAGAGTGTTCCAACCTGACTCCGTTTCTCCAAGGGGGCTCTGATCGGTGTCTTGGAGGTGATTCATGACGTCCCAGGCTTCCTTGGAAAGAGGAAGGGCAGCGCGAGGCTGGAGCTGACCTTAACTACTCTAACACAGCCCTTCCGGCCTCACAAGCACAGGCTCCCAACTCACCCAGATTGCAGTTTGAAAAGCAGGTTATTTTTAGCTATGTCCTAAGGCCGGTAGCAGGACGTGAATTCCTCAAGAGGAGCTGCAGAAAGGAAATAACAGAATCCTCAAACTCTCCAGCTAAATGGGGACTTGCAGGAGGTCACACTGCATGCATGCTCTTCTCTAGAAGACAGGGCCACAGGTGGGCTCCCTGGTTACAAGTGGCTTCAGATAGAAGATGTAACATGAGAACAGATTGTCCATTCAAGACAAGCTTTGAAGATGAGGCAACCTGTCACCATGCAAAGTGTAGGTGCTTGCTGCATAGAAATTCTCTCTGAAGTGCAGTGGCACCAAGTTTAAGGACTGCATGCTCCTGCCTTCCCACCTCACACATCCACATACATGCCTAGCTCATGCACACAAGGAGGAGTCCAGAGAGCAGAGACCAGCATCTGAAGACACAGTCCACCATCTAGCTTCCCTCCTCATTGGCATAGTTCAGGAGATAAGAGGCTTTCGGAACAAATCTGGGACATTAGACTGATCAAGTACCATTTCCATCTTTGTTAGAATGAGAATGGCAGTACCTAGCTCTCTGGCTGTCATCAAAGTTAGTGTGGTTCTGTAGGGAAACTCCTTAGCCACACCACTTGTACCCGCTACATTACCATAAAGGGCTCTGATGGGAAATGGCACTGGAATTCCCGACTTCTCTTCTTATGTTTTCCTTTTCCATGGATGGATAGTATGTGGGGAGCTTTGATCCGCTGGCCCCGTGGCAGAGCTTATTTGGAAGGTAGGTGTCAGGGGAAAAGAACAGACCCAGGCTAGTTTTCTCTGTCATATTATAGCACAAGTCACAACACAGCCTCTCTGAAGACATCAGGGAGGCAGCTGGAAGCTGGATTCTGAGCAGAGAAACTGGTCACAGCGCAGATAGAAGTGCAGAGAGTTCAGGAGGACAGGTCTAATGTCTGTCATTCACAAATCGTCTAGTGGGGGTACCATTCTAGCATTTCCCAGAGTTTGTTTCCTATGCTGTCAAAACTAGCCAGTCTGCAAGATTCCTCCTTCCAGATGAAAAATGATGCCTCAAGGCCCATCTCCTTCAGTTCCTCGTCTGGGTTAAATAGCCACTGAGTTCCTTCTGTACTGCCAGTGTAGCTGATCAGACAGGCTTTTCCAGCACATCTCTGAAGCAGGCCTGTTTTCTTTGTACCCCTCTTACTGCCTGATTCTGGTGACTAGACGGGAAATTCATCCTCAGGCCCAGGGGCTACCCATCCCAGCAGCTCCTACTGGACACTGGGGTCCAGAGAAGACACTGTCTCCTGTGATGAGGGATGGAAAGATTTGATATCTTGACTACTACAAATTTATATGCCAAGATGGATGGAAAGATATAGCTCTAAAGCAGGGTTTGGTTGTCAAAGGTCAGGCCACCCAGGTGAGCTCAGGGTAAGGAAAGCAGCCAACTTGTGCCTGTGAAAAGCAGCAGTGTGGTATGGTTAAACTCTGGGGTGAAGGTCTCAGATATGTGGCTTTAAGCAGAACTTCAGCTGTGTGCACCTGGTCAGGGCACAAGGTCATTGGGATGCTGTCTCTCCGTCTACCTGAAATGGGCTTAGATCTGGGACCTGCCATGCAGGATCACTGTTACAAGTCCTCAGTGCAGCACCAACCATGCCATGTGCTCAGGAGGCCTTAACCTTTACCACAAACTGATATTTGCAGCTCCTTGCTTTCTTTTACCATATGATTGGTCTCAGAACAGATATTCCATTCTAAGACTGGCTGAAGCATGTGACACTGAACAGTTAGTACTTTCCCTAAACCCTGATTTTCTGCTAATGCCAAACAGGGGATCTCTTTTAATAAAACACCCCACTTTCCATCACATCCACTCTCTGTGTCTGTTCATGAAGTCAACGGTCATATTCTGGGGCTTGTCTCTTCTACCAGTTTTCTTCTCCCTTCCCAAGTTCGCAATCAGGGGACCTCCTGTCCTAGACTTCTGAGTCACCCACAGAGCCTCCTCAACGTCTTCCCCATAGAGACTGTGACACCAAGGAGAGTTCACACTTGCTTCTGGGGAAAGCAGGTGCCACTAAATATTTTATTTGCAGGTCTGATGACACCATCTTCCTGATTAGGAACCAAGAGGCAGGTGCTGGTGACAGCCACCTAAGGCATCTGATACCTTGCTGACCAGCTGGCATAAACGTCAGTGCCAATCCAGGAAGGAAGTGAAAGTGAGGCATTTCCAGCTCAGCTCAATGCAGGATTCCCATCTCCCACCATTGTTGCCCTTCCTGTGAGGTCTAGGTGCATGTTGTCACTAACCACCCTCACCTCAGAGGAGGTGGTGGCAGTAGGAATTAGAACTGCATAGAGCTTTGTGATAGAGTCAGAGTGCATGCTAGATCTCATGCCATAGTACCCATGAGGAGTACCACCATCTCCACCCTCTCCACCATCACTGTTCGAGCTTCCAGCATTACTACAGTACTGATAGGACTTAACTGTTCCTGCTCTCTTCATCACCCTGTCACTTCCAGTACCATTGCAGCACCGATTGAGCTCCATTATCTACCTACCCTTGCTATCACAGTCATTGTGACCCCTAGTTACCTCCAGCACCATTGCAACATTAATAAAGCTTAACTGTCCCTGTCATTGTCATCACTGTTACCCGCAGTGTCACATGGTAATAAAGGAGCTCGGCCTTCCATACCCTACCACCCATCACTGTCATTGCTATGTCATCTCTAGTACCATCACGGTGTTAACAGAGCTCCGCCATCCCAGATAGAGTCCACCATCCCAGCTTGGCCATCATATTCCTCATTGTAAACTCCAGCACCATCACAGTGCTGATAGAGCTCTACCATCTTCACCCTACCCAAGCCCATCACCACTGTAATTCCCAGCACCATCATAGGGCTGATAGAGCTCTACCATCCTCACCTATCACCATCATGGTGCTGATAGAGCTCTACCATCCTCACCTATCACCATCACAGGGCTGATAGAGCTCTACTATCCTCACCCTACCCAGAACCATCATGGTGCTGATAGAGCTGTACCATCCTCACCCTACCCAGAACCATCACAGGGTTGATAGAGCTCTATCATCCTCACCCATCAAAACTGTAATCCCCAGCACCATCACAGGGCTGATAGAGCTCTACCATCCTCACCTATCACCATCATGGTGCTGGTAGAGCTCTACCATCTTCACCCTACCCAGAACCATCACAGGGCTGATAGAGCTCTACCATCCTCACCCTACCCAGAACCATCATAGGGCTGATAGAGCTCTACCATCCTCACCCTACCCAGAACCATCACAGGGCTGATAGAGCTCTACCATCTTCACCCTACCCAAGCCCATCACCACTGTAATTCCCAGCACCATCGCAGGGCTGATAGAGCTCTAGCATCTTCACCCTACCCAGAACCATCATAGGGCTGATAGAGCTCTACCATCCTCACCCTACCCAGAACCATCGCAGGGCTGATAGAGCTCTAC